CGGCGAGAACGGACAGCACACGCGCGCGCCCCCCAGCCCTTGCAGCATCACTTCGGGTGGAGGTGGGCAACGCGCAGAGGGGGGTAGGGAGAGGGGGGAAGGCTTCTTAGAAGCACCCCTGCTTCTTAGAAGGCGCGGGCCTTCTCTATAGACGTAAGGCCGAGGCCTTCTAGGAAGCAGGGTGCTTCTAAGAAACCTCCCCCCCTCCCCCTACCCCATTTTGCGCGCCGCCCAGGAGGGGCACCCGTGTCCACAGCCACCGCCTGCCGAGGCCCCCCGAGGGGACCGAGATCCCCCCGGGCGTGGGCAAGCGGGCACACGGCCGAGAGGCTCCGGCCGGGCGTGCCACGCCGCCGCCTCTGGCCGGCGACGCCTCGGCCGCTGGGACGCGGACCGCGCCCCAGCGCCCGAGCGTCGAGCAGTGACGAGGCGTCCCGGCTCGCCTGTACCTGGCATCGCTCGGACGTGTGCGTTTTTTCCTCGGCGAGGATCGTCGAGGAGCATCCTCGACCACTTGGCGAAACCACCACGCACGAAACCGACAAAAAAACACGGGGAATGGACGTCCGAGCGATGGCCAGGGCGTGCCACGCCGCCGCTTCTGGCCGGCGACGCCTCGGCGCTGCGGCGCGGACCGCGCCCCGGCGCCCGAGCGTCGAGCAGTGACGAGGCGTCCTGGCTCGCCTGTAGGCCCAGGGGAGACTGTTCTAAGACGCGCCTGTGGTCTGCACGAGCAGGTCTGAGAGCGCGTCTGGCCGAGAGAGTCCTCTTGTCAACCCATCGGGCTCACGTCCTGAGAAGATCCGTGTGTGTTTTCAGAACAGTTCTGGGTTCCGAGAACGTGCCGTGGTGGGCCTACAGGATTGGCGCGGGACGGCCGGTCCATGCTCAACGAGCGGTCGGCGTCGCGAACCCTTGCTGTCTTGAAGAAGTGGAGAAGCGTCCTGGCTCGCCTATAGCCCTACCAAAAATGTTCTAAGAACCCTCGGTGGTTTCCACGAAATGTTCTTAGAACATTTCTGGCGGAGTCTGTCTTGTTTTATCACATCGGGTTTCTGGTCTAAGAGCATTGTCTTGGTTCTTAGAAAACTGTTGGGTTCTAAGAGCATTCCGTGGTAGGACTATAGGAATAAAACGACGCGAAGATCGGGACAAAATCGGATCGGGATAACTCTAAATCTCTGCGACTCGGCGGGTTTGGAGGATGTATTGGGCGCCGCGGCCGCTCCAGAGCGTTCCGGAACGCTCTGAGAGCGCTCCGGAACGCTCTGGAGCGATTTATCCCGATCCTAGCCCTGTTTTAAGGAATGCTGGGACGGTCGGTCCCTGCTCAATGCCATGGCACGCCCGCACCGAAAGGCGCCGTGTTCAGAACCTGCGTGTCCGCACGCTGCGCGTCGGCGCGGCGCGCGGGCGGCCCACGCCTTGGCGAGCCTATCGCGCCAGACATCTGCGCCTGCCCGTACTGCTGGCAGCGCTCCGTGCCACGACGTCGCGGGTCGCGCGCGCTGCGCCTCGGGGCAACCATGAGAAGTCGGGCGTGTCCCTCTACAGGGGGAATGTTCAGAGGCCAGCAACATATGTACACGTACGCGGTTAGCTTCCCCTGGAGGGCGTTTGAACGAGGACGTTCGTGCACTCAAGATCGCTGAGGGCGTACATGTACATATGTCGTTGTTCGCTCAAATGTTCAACAATAGCAAAAAGATAGTCTGGGGACGAAGTTTTGGCTCTGCTTGACGATGTCAGAGTATTTCTTGAACAGGTTTGATTTTTCGTCCAAGATCCCCCCCTGTTACGGGGACACGCCCGACCGAAGGCAACCGAGCCCCGCGCTTTTTTCCCGGCCCCCCGCCCCGCGGAGCGGAGCGGAGCGACGCGCTCACTATCCGCTCGCAGGGCCCAGCGTGTCCCCGGGGCCGTCGCTGCGGGCCCTCGGAGCAAAGGTGCGGTGATCGACTTAGGTACGGAAAGAGGAGCACGAAGACCGGCAGCATGTCTTGTTCATCTTGCGCAGGACTCGCTGCTGGTGTGGCCGCCGACGTTGTCCACTCGAAAATAGATCAGCCAGCGGTGACTCCAAATAGAAAGGAGGACGGGAGGAGGACGAGACGAGGATGGGAGGAGGACGAAAGGAGGACGGGAGCAGGACGGGTGGAGAACGGGAGGAGCAAAGTCAAGCAAGCGAAAGCAAGCAAGCGCAAGCGAGCAATAACAAGCAAGCAAGAGGCAGCGATCAAGTGCAAGCAAGCAAGGGCAAGCAAGAGCAAGCAAGCGGGAGCAAGCACGCAAGAGCAAGCAAGCATGTGCCATTGGAAAAAGGGGGGTGCCATGTGAAAAGGGGGGTGCTAAAGACAAATTTCTTATGACGAGCTAGCACTCCTATAGGGCAAGCCTATTTGGAGAACAATGGTTATCAGATGGGGGGGATCAAGAATACTTGTCCTCAAGTTGAGAACTCAACCACAACATCAACAGCAACAATCCTTTGAGTATTGTTCGCTCTTATCTCTTATCTACTCGCATGCAATTCAACACGTGTATCGAACCCTCGATACCCGCCCTCGTAGTCTTCGATCATAACCCCGCCGCGTGTAGTTGGTACAGCCCCTGAAACATGGGAAGAGGGGACGGATGGAGGGGGAAGGGGAGAGGATGGATGACGGGATTAGCAGGAGGAGGGCTAGGAGCAGAAAGCCCGAGGCAGAACCAGACGGGCAGATCGGGCGGGTAGACCCTCGCGAGCGGGTCGGGAAGGCGGGTCCAGGCGGCCAGGTCGAGATGGCGGGTTGTTGGAGCGTGCGTCCGGCATGAATCGCGAGGAAGTCTCGAGCGACAGCGCGATGCCCAAGTAAATCGTGAGGACATCCAAAGCGAGAGCGTGACTCTTGAGTGTCGAGGGTGCGGCTCTGGTATACATTGCGAGGAAGTCACACGCGAAAGCGCCATGTCTGGATACACTGCGGGGAAGTCCCGCGCGAGAGCGCGATTTGGTAATAACTTATGGGGAGGTATCAAGCGGGAGCCGCAATCCGGGGGCCAGGGGCGCAGTTAAGTGACACCTCGCTTCACTTTGTAACAAAAAAAGGGGCGGGCCTCGAGAGGAACACTTACACGGAACAACGGCGCGGGGGGATCAACAACAATCATTCTTTAGAATTGATTTTTCAACAATTGAAGATTGCTCGCTCCCATCTGTTCGCGTCCATTCAACACGTGTATATCCGAAACCTTCGATGCCCGTTTTCTCCCTCTTCCATTGTACCCTCATTGGGGATACATATATATATGTATGTGTGTGTGTGTTCCTCCTTACCTGCCGCGCGAATCTAGCGCAACCCCAAAAACAGGGGAAGAGAGGAAGGATGGAAAGGGGGCGAGCAGGGTGGAGCACGAGAAGGATTAGCAGGAGGCGTGCCAGGAGCAGCAGACACGTGGAAGAGCCTGACGGGCAGATCGGGCGGGCAGACCCCCGCGGGCGGGTCGGGAAGGCGGGCCCGGGCGGCCAGGTCGATCAGGTGGGCTGCTGGAGCGTGCGTCCTGCATGGATCGCGCGGAGGTTTCGAGCGACAGCGCGACCCCCAAGTAGATCGTGATGAATCCACCGCGAGAGCGTGATTTCTGGGTGTCGAGGGCGCAGCGCCTGAGTAAATTGCGAGGGGTCCCACGCGAGAGCGGGATTTCTGAGTAAGCTGTGATGATGTCCCGAGCGAGAGCGCGATTTTGAAATCCATTGTAAGGAAGTATCAGACGGGAGACGTTGTTGTTATAGTTCGGGGTACAACAGAGCATTGTTGGTGACACCAAGCCTTCCCTATTAAAAACTAAGGTGCGAGCCCCGGGGTGATTACTTACATCGGAAATTACGGTGGTCACCAGAGGGGGATTAACCATATTTTTATTAGAAATGAGAATTCGTCCACAACACCAACAATACCAGCACTCAGTTTAAGATTGATCGCTCTTATCAGCTCGCGCGTCGTTCAACGCGCATATCCCATACTTTCGATATCCGCCCTCTTTGTCTTTAATGGTACACCCTGAAAGGTATATTCTTCTTGCCTGCAACGTATATTTCGCGCAGCCCTTGAGGCAGAGGGAGTGTGGATGGATTGAAGGAAGGGGCAAGGCAACAACAACAACATCAACGCCAACACCCAGCACCACCAACAACAGCAACAACAACACCAGCAACGACAACGGCAACGACAACGACAACACCAACAAAGCTATCGTTTAACCGCTCCCAATTCCCATCCCCGATCCCGATCCCCACCATCCCACCAATCCAGTTGTGATATACCCAATCGGAACTCCAAGTAAGAAACCTATATTCCCATCAGTTGGGGAACAACCCATGACATAAGCATCGAAACTCAGAGGCCCGCGCAGATTTCTCAGATCGGCGCTAGACCCCCCACCCCTTTGCACGCGGAGCTCGCCAGGGGCTGCCCCGGAGGCGCCGCTAGGGGGCCCCAGCACGGATCCGAGGAATCCGCGCGGATCTCCGAGCTTTTCTGATTCTGTTCGTGCTCGAGATAGGCCAAGGGACCTTGGCTGTCCACCTCGCAGGGCAGGGATCTCCCCCAAGACACCGCCATCTTCCTTGCCCCTTCCATCCTCCCAAGACCCCCGACGCCACGACTTTGTCACAGCGTCGACCCCCAGACTCCGCCGGGAGAGGTTTGCGTCCTGAGTCGTTTCTTGGCGGCCCCGAGGCCTGGGAAGGACCCCAAGAGGCCGAGAATAGTGGAAACCTGCCGTCGCGATTTTTCCTCCTTCTCCTCCTTCTCCCCCTCCTCCTCCTCCTCCTTCTCCTCCTCCTTCTCCTCCTCCTCCTCCTCCTCCTCCTCCTCCTCCTCCTCCTCCTCCTCCTCCCCCTCCTCCTCCTCCTACTCCTCCTCCCCACTCCCCATTCTCCTCCTCCTCCTCCTCCTCCTCCTCCTCCTCCTTCTCCCCCTCCTCCTCCCCCCCGCGGCCTCGGCGGGGACCCCCCGCAGGAGGAGGCGCGGCAGGCGGAGGCCGCGCCGCCGCCGCTCGAGGCCGCGGCGGTGGGCCCAGACGGCTGGGCGGACCTCATCCGGCGGCTACGACGGGCGTGGCTTCTCTCAGGGGGGGGAAACGTCCCAGACACGATCGCGTCGGAGCAGAATCCGGGCGGGAGTGTCTTGGGCAAGTTCGGCCTCGGCAGGCCCTCGCCGGGCCTCGGGACCGTCAAGCAACGGCCCAGGAGGAAGATCGGGTCACGGGGAACGGAGCGGGACTTCGGGGGGCCGCGAGCTGAAAAAAACAGGGCGTCGCATGTCTGGGGTGGCGTCGCTCGGGCGTGTGCGTCTTTGTGGGCGCCCCGGGCCGCCGGGTGAAGCCGGCGCACCGGCAGCCCGCGCGCGGGCTGCGTTCCCCCCCCCCCTTTTCCCTCCCTCCCTCCCTCCCCCCCTCCTCGGCCGCCCCTCTCTGCCGCTGGGCTTCTTCGCTGGGTTGAGAAATCAAGTGTGCATCTTTTTGGGAGGGGGGGGGGCGGGCCGTCGAGGAGCGCGCCTATATAGGAGAACAGAGCACGCGCGGCGCCGAAGCAGGCACGGGGCATGGGCGCCAATAGGCGGTGGCAGGTATGCCCGGGGGAGGGAGCAAACGACACCGACACTGAGAACCGCCGGCTTCAAAGAAAGGCATGGGAGGGTATCGGCAGGTGTGGAGGTCGAGGGGGAGGCCAACATCTAGAACATCTGGGGAGAGGGGGACTCCTGGAGTTCGTGACAGAGGAGTTGCGTGCCCGTGGGCCCCATTTTAGGGAGGCTGGGGTGTTGGAGCCGCCTGGGGGTCCCGCGCTGGCGCCGGCCGGCAGGCCAGGAGGGCAGGCTCGACGCTCTGGGCTCGGGGAGGCGTCTTGCAGGTCCTGGCCTCCGCAGGGGTCGCGTTCGGGCCCCGGGGCCGCGAAAAAGCACAATATCCTGGAGGGAAGACTTGCACCGCAGATGGCCTCCAGGGGTGGTCCAGGACCGGCCTTGAGCGAATCTGTCTGCCCCGGGGCCGCGAAAAACTATGATATCCTGGAGGGACGAAATGCACCGGATGGCCTCCAGGGGCGGTCCAGGACCGACCTTGAGCGAATCTATCTGCCCCGGGACCGAGAGAACCTATAATATCCTGGAGGGACGACTTGCACCAGATGGCCTCCAGGGGTGGTCCAGTCCAGGGCCGACCTGGAGCGAACCTATCTGGACTCGAGCCCCCTGTGCGGATCTTCTCGGCGCCCCTCCGGTTCAGGCCCCCCGGCCGCCTCCCAGTTATACGAGGTACGTCGTGGGGGCTTGGAGGGCACCGCGTCGCCCTCGCCGGGCCTCCCCAGGGCACGGCAGAGAACTCCGTCGAGGTCCTCGCCCGCCCACCGCGGCTGCGGGTCCCAGAATTTTTGTTGGTCGGCGGGTCGGGAGCGGGCCCCTTACGGTTAAGAGCTAGGCGGGGCGCGCGAAGCCCTAACTGGGGAGACAGGGCGCGGGCGGGCGGGGCCTCAGGGCGCGGGTCCCAGACATGCGACGTCCTGACTCTTCCCATGTACGCGGTCCCCAGAAGTCCCGGCCCTTTCCCCAGGACCAGTTTTTCATCCTGGGTCTGTGTTTGACGGCCCCGAGGCCCTTCGGGGGCCCCCCGAGGCCGAGCATTGCGCCAAAGACCTTCCGTCCTGACTTGTTTTAACGACGCGATCATGTCTGGGCCTGCACACCACGCCCTTTGCAAACCACACCCGTCGGAGTTGCCGACGCATGGGCGACAAGATCCGCTTGCGGCTCGTGTCCGAGGGGCAGGGCGCGCGGCCAGAGTGGAACCAGGAGCCCCCACCGTCCTCGTCGGGGGAGGAGGAGGAGGAGCAGGAGGAGGAGGAGTAGGAGCAGGAGGAGGAGGTGGAGGTGGGAGGAGGGGGAGGAGGCGGAGGAGGAGGAGGGGGAGGAGGCGGAGGCGGAGGAGGAGGATGCGGAGGAGAAGGTGGAGGCGGAGGCGGAGGCGGAGGCGGAGGCGGAGGCGGAGGCGGAGCAGGAGGAGGCCGACCGGATCCGAGCGGCGGTGGCTCCTGCAAGGCCGCGGTGCACGCCCTCCGCTTCGCCCGCTGCTCGAGCGGCAGTCGGCCGCCCGCTCCGCGGGTGCCGGTGTACCCCTGCTCGGATCCTGGAGATGCCTCGTCGCCGCGGCCGGGTTCTCCCGGAACTGCTGGTCAGAACGCGCGCCGGGAGAGATGTGGGGAGTATATAGCTCGAAGAAGAAAATAAGCAGCACATAGACATACACTTTTGGCGCTCCGCGCGGATTTCTTGGATCCGCGCAGGGCCTTCCTGGCGGCGCCTCCGGCGCCGCCCCTGGCGCGCTCCGCTTGCCGGGGAGGGGGCTCCGGCGCGGATCCAAGCAATCCGCGCGGAGCGCCAAAAGTTTATGCTTCTTTTCTTTTCTTTTTCTAAGAGCGGTATCGGTATCATGTGGTTCCTCCATCTCGGGCGGACGACATCGGAGGGGCAATACGCGGGGTGTGATGAAGGATTGCAGGGGAGCCCCAGAGCTGTGGGGTGCACACGAGGAGCACACGAGGGGTGCACACTCCGTCCCCTCCCCGTCTGCTCCCTCCCGGCTCTCGGCATCGCTCGGACCTGTGCACCTTTTCCTGGCGCATACCATCGAGAAGCATATTAGCATCACTCCGCGAACAACAGTCAATGCACGAAGCAGAAGCATGCACGGATAATGGACGTCCGAGCGATGGCGAGGGTGGGGACGAGGATGCATCCATTCCGGAGCGCTCTGGCACGCTCTCGGAGCGTTCCGGAACGCTCTGAGGAGGCCGCGGCGCCACATCCTCCAGACGTGCCGTTCTTCAGAGATGTCCGACTGGCATCGGTCCGACGTTGCCTCGGTCCCGTCTGTCCTGCGCTGCCCGCCTGGCCTCCTGGGCGGTCTCCTCCTGGTCCAGTGTGCTGTTTGTCACAGCATCCTGCTCGAGGACGCTGTGTCTTGCTTTCCCGACGCGGGTTCCGCGTTGCAGCGTTAGCATACCCATCGGTCGTTGAAAGTAGGTATTTTTGGATTCCCAGATTCCAATCTACTTTCAGCGCCTTCCTTCTTCAAGAGTCGAGTGGTTTTCCCTCTTCCTTCTTCTTCAGGAGGCGGGCGGAAACCCAACATATTTCCAACGCCTTCCTACTTCATGTTTCTACCTACTTCTTCCGACCGATGGGTAGTTCATGCCCTCAAGGGCACCGATGACCAAAAAACCCTGCTCCCCCCCGCTCCCTGCCCCCCACTGCTCCCCCCGCCCCCTGCCCTGCGCCCTCTGCGCCTCCTGCCCTGCCCTGCCCCGACGCTCCTGGGCGGTCCCCTGCCCTGCTCCTCTCCTCCTCCTCCTCCTCCTCCTCCTCCTCCTCCTCCTCCTTCTCCTCCTGCTCCCTCTGCGCCTCCTCGTCCTCCTCCTTCTCCTCCTCCTCCTCCTCCTCCTCCTCCTCGTGCCTCTCCCGCTCCTCTCCTACTCCCTCCGCCTCCCCCGCTCCCTCCCTTCCTCCTCGTCGCCCTCCTCCTCCCTCTCCGCCTGCAGGAGGGGAACAAAAACACCTCCTCCTCCCCTTCCTCCTCCCTTCCCTCGCCGCGCTTTTCCTCCCTTGTCCTCCTCGTCGCGCTCCTCCCCTTCCTCCTCGGCGTGCTCCTCCCCTTCTCCCTCGTCGCGCTTCATCTTCCCCTCCTCGTCTTATGATGTTCCAACCTACTTTAGCCTTGATCACCAGGAATAAGCTCGAGTACCAGGAAAGTGCCAGAACTTGAGGGTTTTCACGTATCGGGCCCTGGGGTGCGATACTCGTTCGACACTGCTTCGACACTTGTCTGGGTGCTCGAAATTATATATGTGATGTGGTCCTTAAGTACGATGGGACAACGTAATCCGCGTCGCCTCTCTACTCCCCCTCCTTCTTCAGGAGGGAAAAAGTTCACATACACAGAGTTTGCCGCGTCGGCAGCTAGGCAGAGTGACTGCGCTGGCGGAAGAAGTTACACATACACAAAGAATCGTCGATTCCGCGGAAAGTATGGAACCTATGAGAAGTGGAGGGGAAGAAAAACCTCCAGAACATACGCGAAAAGTCATTGGGAGTCGCGGGAGTCGTGTCTCTTTGCCTGAGTTTGCCTGGTGCCCCTGATCTCCTCCCTCCAGCAGGGGTCCTGCTGCTCCCCCTCCTCCTCCCCCCCAGATCAAGGGTATAAAAAACGCCCCTACCCTGGTTTACGAGGCGCTGTGCGCTGAAACTCCTGTGGGCTGACAGGGTAAACCCTGCGTGATGTGCCGCGTCCTGGCGGCTCTAGGCTTCGGGGGTTCCCAGGAGGTTTGCAGACCACGCACTTGTAACCCAGGGTAGGGTCGTTTTTTAAGCCCTCCCCCAGAAGCGCTTCCCGCGAGGACGTGCGCTGCAGCTTCTCCGTGCGGGTGGACGGGGCCGACCCCGGCCCGGTCCTGCAGCAGCACCGGGACGTGAGCGGGGGGCGGGCCGGAGGGCGGAGGGCGCAGGCCAGCGCTAATCACGGAGAGGGGCGCGGTCCCAGACATGCTCCTCCTCCTCCTCCTCCTCCTCCTCCTCCTCCTCCTCCTCTCCTCTCCTCCCCTCCTCGGGGTTCATTCTCCTCTCTCCTCCTCCTCCTCCTCCTCCTCTCCTCTCCTCCTCCTCCTCCTCCTCCTCCTCGGGCCTCATTATTCTCCTCCTCCTCCTCCTCCTCCTCCTCCTCCTCCTCCTCCGCCTCCGCCTCCGCCTCCGCCTCCTCTCTCCTCAATCAGACCTGGCCCCTCCCTGCTCCCTCCCTGCCTCAGGATCAGGCGATCGCACCCAAGTGCCCGTGGACGAGTCGGACTTCCTGGGCAGCGAGCTGCAGGAGTCCCCCCCGCGTGCCATGGAGGGCGAGGGGGGACACCGAGGGCGCAGTGGCCAAGTTGCTCGCCGAGGTGCGGACGAGGCGGGGGTAGCTTTGACTGCACCGTCCTGCCCTCCGACGAGCTCGTGAGTGGGTGGCCTTCCCTGCAGGACCTCGGCGGCCAGTGGGGGAAGGCAGAGGTTGCGAGGAGTGTGTGCTGGTCTTCGTGCAGCCCGTCGTTGTGACCGTGCCGGTGGTGGTGCTCCTAGTTTGGGTGGTTTGTTTGACAGGCTGGGTGGCGATATTTCCAGAGGTGGAGATCACTGGCAGATTTAAGGAGGCGTACCTGGTTCTGGTGGCGTGGCTGACGGACTTGGTGGCATTCTTCCCACCAAAGGCAGCGTGGGCCCTTGTTTTGGGGGTGCGTCCGACAGACTGGGTGGCGTTATTTCCAATGGTGGAACGTCTGGGTGGCGTTATTTCCATTCCTGGTGGAGCTGGCGGGTTTTCGGGCAGACTGGGTGGCGCTATTTCCATCGAGACGGTCTCTGACGGACTGGGTGGCGTTATTTCCAATTCAGAGGCATGCCGGATGGCGCTCTGGAGTCTAACGGACTGGGTGGCACTATTTCTATTCCAAGGGCTGGGCAGACGGTACCGGCCCCCCTCATGGAGGATGCCACGCAAGGGGAGGGCACGCATTAACCTTTCAGGCTCAGCTCGAAAAGGTCATCACCAGCGTGGCGATGAGGACCAGGGGCCAGCATCTCGTCAGGGGTTTGGAATTTTGTCGTTCGACAGCTGTCGCTCCGAGAGGTGCACGTGTTCAGGGAGCTGGGGATGGAAGCTTTCGGATCTACAGATCCTGGGCATGAGAATTATCTCGTGGCGCACGGCGGAAAGTATCTTCGAGTGGGCCATCGACGAGGGAGACGGGGCATTGAAGACCACATGTTTTATATTGCCAGGAGACCAACATCGAGTCGAACAACAAGTGAATGGCAGGGCATGTTGCTGTCCCTGGGGCTCGCGCGCAGCACTGGGGATGGGGCCAACAAGCGCTACTCGGGAACGGCCTTTGCGGTTCAGTCTACGTTGGAGTGCAGGCCTCTGCTCAGCAGTCTCTTCGAAGGTTCTACCAGCAGAGTAAGCGCTAGGGTCATGAACACGGGTCTCCCTGGAGGCATCCTGCTTGTCACGGTTTACTTCGCCTGTGGGATGAAGTTCTTTGGACCAAACGTCGACCGTCTTAATGTTGTTGGTGAGTTTGTGCTAGGACAGCGCAGGCTCTGGATCCTGCAAGCTGAGCTGTTTCATTTCCCGCCCGAGCTGCACCATCCCTACGTGCTCGAGCGCAGCAGGTGGGTCCGAGTCCGTCCTGGCAGGTGATGTTCAAGTTGGGGCTCTCCAAGATGTTCCAGACAATAGGATTCTCGATCCAGATAACCAGGAGGGGGACATTGGGAGGTTCGAGACAATTCGGGCAGGATCCTTGACTATTTCGTGGTCGCCGAGGTCTTGGCGCCGTGCGTTCAGGAGGCCAGAGTGCTCCATGGGGCCCAGGTGTACCATCACTCGCCCGCGTGCCTCTGGTTGGCCAGGGCATCGCACGCGACCGCGATCAACCAGCAGGCCAGGCTCAAGGCCTCCACGTCAGGCGCCATGGGTCCTCGACAAGAGCTTCGTGACTTGATTTGGTCTTAGGGGCTGGATGGGTCTGAGGGGCCCTCGTTGGAAGCAGTGACGAGCGGTATGGCTGTGCCGATGGGGGGGCGCTATGGATTCAACGGCTCGACAAGGGCGCGTTGGGGTACCAGGGGTCAGGAGGTCCCGTTCGGCGCCGTCTGGGAGAAAGATCAGAGGCGTAGGATCAGCAAGTGCACCGAGGCCTGGACTGCTCGCTCGGCAGTCTGCTCGCGCCGTCAGCACACCCTTCGAGGCCGGCCAGGGAATCGAGGGAGGAAGCTGCTTTCGAGTTGGCAGGATTTGCGGGTGAGCATGGTCTCAGCCATGCAGCCCACCGAAGGTCTACTCTCAGCCGACCGCCTCGAGTGCTTCGTTGCCGAGGTCAACACTGGCGACTGCCGCGACCTCCCCTTCTGGAACGCCTCGTAGGCGGAGGTGGACAAGACGGGGTGGGAGGATGTCAAGCAGAGCCTGAAGGAACGGGGGGGTTGGGCGGTCGAGTCTGCCACAGGAGGGTGGGAAGGCGGCGCGCGCTCTGTGCGCGAGAGGTTGTTCAGAATGCCACCTGCATGATTGACGGAGGTGGTCTCCCTGTCTGTGGGCAAGTCCGCCGCAGAGCACTTCTTGAGCCGGCAGGTTTCGCTCTGGTGCGTGGAAGGGAGAGGCGGGCAGCGCCTTTTGACTTGGACCACTCCCGAGAGCGAGCAGGAGTTCCCTCCACTTTCTGTAGACGATCTGCTAGATATATGTAAAAGGCTTAGTAGGCCCTGGAAGCGACAGGGCCGTTTTGTTACCGGTTCCGTTTTGCCGTTTTTTAAACGGTTCCGACGCCGTTGTTTTACCGGTTAATTCCGTCGCCGTTTTTTGACCGGTTCCGGCTCCGGTTCGCCGTTTTTTGCCGTTTTTTTTTCAAGGGACATTCTTTTGGAAACAGTGAAAAAACGGCCCTGCCGTCTCCGGGGCCCACTGAGGTAAGAGGTACAGTGCCAGGTCCGATCGTCAGGTCCAAGTGCTGCGAGCGCGGTCCAGAGGTGTGCCCGCTAGAGCCGGCGTCAAGTCCCTGCTGGGTTGCATCGAGAATGGGCGCCACCCCCATTAATGACCGTGCGACCGCCAGGGACCTTGTGCTCAGTTTCCATGGTCCGCTGTCCAACCAGGATCGCGATGCCGTGAGGCAGGCAATTTTGTCTCCGCCGCTACTAGTCGATCGAGCCTCAGTGGCTCCGAGCTGGCATGTTGCTGCAGGGTTTGCACCGCTGGAGACGGTGCTTCAGTCCTTCGACCTGCCGCGTGCCCAGGCGCTTGGAGAAATGCCCGTCGAGACGGGTCGGGGATGGACTACGACCTGACGTCAGACGGAGGCGATCTCTCCTGATTTCACATGCGTTGAGCTCGACCAACAATTACAGCAATCTACTCCCTCCCTGCTCTCCCTCCTCCCTCCTCCCTCAGAGCTGGCCCCCGACCTCGCGGCAAGCGCCGCGCTCTCCCGCGCGGCCGCCGGGGGCAGTTGCGCACAAGATGCCCGGTGAGGCCGCGGTGACGTGAAGAAATCACGGCGGAATGTCTTCGGCCGTCTTTGGCCTCCCCAGACCTCGTCGACTCATGCGAACACGGCGCGAGGTTGTTCTTGTTTCGGGGCCTCTGGAGGCCCTTCCCGGGCGCCAGGCCGTCAAACATTGGTGCGGAACGAAACGCCGGTCCTGGGGAATGGGTCGAGACCTTCGGGGTCGACGTCATGGAAAAGCATGACGTCGGGGATCACTGTCGGGGGTCCCTCGCCGGAGCCCGGGACCGTCGAACGACTCCGGTGAAGAAAGCACCCTGACGGCAGCCTGGACCAGGGCGACGATGAAGAGATCCACTAGACGCTCAAAAAAGCCCCTGGGCTGACCAAGATGCTCCTTCTCCTCCTCCTCCTCCTCCTTCTCCTCCTCCTCCTCCTCTTCCTCCTCCTCTCGCCCTCCTCCTCCTCCTTCCTCCTCCTCCCTCTCCTCCTCCTCCTCCTCCTCCTCCCTCCTCCTCTCCTCCTCCTCCCCCTCCTCCTCCTCCTCCTCCTCCTCCTCCTCCTCCTCCTCCTCCTCCTCCTCCTCCTCGGGGCAGGGGTGGGAGCACAGGCCATGTGCAACCTGGCGTGTGTCTGTTGCTGGGGATCTCTCAACCATCCCGGCCAGAAATTCGGCCAGCACTGAGGCGAGAGCAGTCCAGAGGGCTAGGAGGAGGAGGAGGAGGAGGAGGAGAAGGAGGAGGAGGGGGAGGAGGAGGAGGAGGAGGAGGAGGAGGAGGAGGAGGAGGGGGAGGAGGAAGGGGAGGGGGAGGAGGGGGAGGGACGACTGCAGGGCCTCGCCGGCCGGCCGAGGTGAGGTATCGGATCGGCGAGGGCGAGGCGGTGCCCATGCTGGAGCTCGGCCTGCGGCACATGCGTGAGGGCGCCACGTGCGAGCTCTTCGGCACCTCCCAGTGGGCCTGGGGAGGGGCCCTCCTCCCCCTTCATCCGGAGGCAGTCAAGAGGGGGGTGATGACGAGGCGCTGTGGGCATCATGACCAGAGGCACGCAATCTCCCCCATCAGGGCTGGCGGCCCCTCATTCTGGTTCCAGTACGCTCCCTAGCCACACCCCCCTCGTCCACACACATGCTCAGGGCCATGATTTGAGAACCCCCTCTTGGACGCCTCCCTCCTGGACGCCCCTGACACCTTCGTCCAAGCTGCGCGTAGGAGTGACCTTTCGCCAGAGTGACCCTTTGTGTGCGGCTTTGATAGGGGGTTGGGGGGAGGAGGAGGAGGAGGAGGAGGAGGAGGAGGAGGAGGAGGAGGAGGAGGAGGAGG